CTAAGCTGGGATAGTGATGGGTCAGGGAAAATTGGACTTTTGGGGCAGGGGTAGGCAATAACATCATGTTGGTGATAGGCAGCAGGAAATAAGGTGAGAGGGATGGATTGTTCTCAAGGAAGACTGCCTTGATATGTCATATTGTGTTGCATTTCATATTATGGACCTGATTATGGATGGGAGGGCTAACCTGGCATGAATAACAGAACTGAATGGGGAAGCAACAAAAGTTGATATAGACTTCTTCCAAAGATTTAACGTTCCATTTTTACTTTCATTAATTGATACAGTTTAGCAGTTGATTCGTTGAGCAATAAATCAATGAAATTTACAGTATTCCAGAGAAATGTCTTACCTCTCTTTTGTCATCAACCATATTCCATATAATCTGAAAATGCCTAAGATCATTATAACTTAAGAGCTGATCTTCTTCAGTAGAATAAAATAAAGAGAAGTTTTCCACAATTATAGCTGTATAAGACAGAAACATTAAAAAGTAAGCATTTCCTAAGTTCAAAAGTCTTTATAATTGTACATAACTTAAATTTGAAAAATCATAAAAGGATTTTGCTCTGTGTAGGAGGAGAGGCAAAGCATAGGGGCAGAATCAAAAAAAGAACCTGGCTGGAGTCATTACGCTCCCACAAGCGATACAAGTCCATCCCCTCTTAATTCCATCGACTGTTATCTAGCACCAATACACAATGCATAAGCAGGCAACACAAAAAACTTGATTCTTCAAGTTTTTTTGCATATGATGTACAAATGTATCATTTTAATATCATAATAGACCCCCATATAAAAAAAATACCCCACCCCTATTTTCTGCTGTTTTCATTAGAAACTGAATAAGTTACAAAGTAGCCTGGTACCATAATGCAGCGGTGGGATTCCCTTCCCTTCCCTACCAGCTTGTAAATGTGAGTGTGTGCATCTTCTGTGCATGTGCAGAAGGTCACACATTATGTTGGGGCGGGTGGGCGGAGCCTCCCACAATCACCGCTACCAGTTCGCCCAAGCCAGAGAGAACTGGCTGAATATCACCTCTGCCATAATGCACTTAGTTTTTCAATTGTACATATAAGATGTTTGTACAAAGGAAATTACAAATGTTGAGCATAACAAAGGCAGCAAAAAAATTCCTACAATATTTTGAAAAATCTGACATTTGTTAAAGCAAACATAGATAATTTTTTTCTCCTCTGCTAGGTTCTATTTTCTCAAAATTAATCTGGTCATCATGGAATATGAATGGGACTGAAGAAAGCAGTCAAAATAGAGCTAAAAACTGGTGAGAACAGTAATTTCTCTCTGGTAATTGCCTTTCTGATCCACATTTTATTCATAAATAGTTTTTCTTTAGAAATCTGAACCAAACTTCTACATAGGATATCTGAGATTAGCTGGATGGTGGCATGAAGGGTTCCACCACAAAACCGCGGTCGACAAAATCGCGCTCGACGAAAGCGCGTACGTGACGTCATCACAGCACGACGAAAACATCGTGCTGTGATCGATAAATGTAAAAATAAAGCGAAAACCTTACCCTAACCCCCCCAAACCTAACCCTAACCCTAACCCTATCCCTTAACCTAACCCTAACCCTAACCCTAAACCTAACCCCCCCAAATCTAACCCTAAACCTAACCCTTAACCTAACCCTAAATCTAACCCTAAACCTAACCCCCCCAAATCTAACCCTAAACCTAACCCTTAACCTAACCCTAAATCTAACCCTAAACCTAACCCCCCCAAATC